TGACAATCTTCTCCTCTACCCCCAAGGATTTTTAATAAATTTAATTCATCCCACATGTAACTGTAATTTTGAAATAGTTCATTAGCTAATATCAAAATTCTTAATTAAAAAAAAAATCAAAAGCACCTTAAAATCCTGTTCAATATACCAATCAATGGCAGTCCATCTTAAAAATAATAATTCACAGAAAGTCCTTTGCAAAGTCTGGTTGTTTAAATGATCTCTCTTTATTTTACATTTTCTTTGCATAATTTATCTTGGTAAACAAGCATTTGTGAAACTACCCTAATTCCTTAATAGTTAATTTTTTGTTATTCATTTTCTTATGGAATTAAAATGCACTTCATTAATTTATATTACACAGTTTAGAATGTTCCTTAAAAAACAATCTTTCCTATCTATCTCTTTTAATACAATCAATTTTATTTATCTTAGTTTAAGTGTGTTTCTAATATTGTAGATAATTATTAGTTTATTAATCATTACTTTATCTGTTCTCATAAAAGGTTACCTCTGACTTGAAGGAAATTGGAGGAAAAGTGACTGATATCAATGCCATAGTTTCCAATTTAGCAACAGACGGTGTCGCCAAATTGTTAGACAATATTTTCAAAGTATTCCAGGTAAAAATATTTTATACCCTATATATTATTTTTTTCATTTTTTGAAACCTTAAAGTAAAAAAAAAATATATATATATGTATATATTTTATTAGTAATCGAGATATAAATAAACAACACATTAATGTCAACATTGGAATAATAATTAAATATTTTAGAACGCAAATTAAGTTAATTCATCAACAATGTGGCTCTTACAGCATTTCTTTAATTCTAAATAGCCTATTAAAACACTGATCCCAATCGATAATAGTTTTCAGCTTTTTATGTAAAAATAATTTCAATTAAATACTAATTTATACATTGAAACAAGGAACAATTATTGAAATTCCATGTAAATTTATTCAAATCTTTTATTTCAACAAGCTATTAATTTATTTAAATGCAAAAACAAATTTAATACAATAATTACATTTTTATTTTTTAGAGTACAGGAAACAGTATAAGTGCTGTTGAAGATGTCATCAAAAATGCTCAAAATCAAGTTGGCGACAAACTCAAAAACATCTTAAGTGGTGTAGCTGAAGAATCTTTGGACAAAATTCAAGTAAGACCGACTAATTTTCTTTTATAGTTTTACTTATTTTTTTTATAAACAAATTTATATATTTATTGCAAAACTAGGATGTCACTGGCCAAGCTGTAGAGAATAAGGAAGAGTTCGTCAAGGATGTGCAAGATGGTGTCGACAACTTAGTCAACAATTTCCTTGAGAGCTACGAGGTAGACTAATATTATTATTATTATTATACTTCCACAATAAAATTTCAAATTGATTGCTTACACAATTGACTTTTATTCTGTGATTTTATCTATGTATTATATAGCAACATATATTGGATTCACAAATTTTAAATATAATTGTATGCTATCCTTTTTATATTATTTAATTGTTTGATTATTAATTTTGTGTATGTTTGCTTTAATTAAAGTCAGCAGCTGAAGGTGTCACTGCCATGAAAGATAACCTTCTTGAACAACAAAGCAAGGTTTCTGAACTAGTAAAGGAGAAATTCCAAAAATTGTTGCAAGATTTCTCTGCCAAAACCAAGGTAAATTCAGTCTATACTTTTAAATATTTTATATCACTTGATAAACAACTTTTCTTTCTATTATTTTAAAAAGTATCTTAAATGGTTCAATATTTAAATTGATTACTATTAGCGTATTTATAATACTAGAAATAATTATAATTGTAAAATTCAAGGATCTAAAAGGAGTGGGGAAAAATGCAGTTGCGGCAAAGCAGAAAGCTGGTGAAGAGTTAGTAAATGGAATCAATCAGCTAGCTTCAGATGTCAGCAGCAAATTGGAAGTAAGTATTCATCAATATTATCATCTATTGTAAAATTCATTAAATTTACACTAAATAGTACATCAATTTTTTTAAAATATTATTTTATGATATTAATAAATTGTATAAGATAGGATCTCTCAGCTAGTTCAGTCAAACACCAAAAAAATCTTTAAATATTATTAACTAAAAAGATACAAATTTTATAATCAAGAAGAATTTTACATGACTGAAGATAAACCACTGGGTTTTTCTCTTCCTCATGCCTATCATGCCCTTTCTCCTTGTCTATTTGTACAGTTATCTCATTCACTGGTTGTCAGTGGACATTGACAGTTGTGAATTAAAAAATAAAGAGGAAAAAAAAAAAAAAAAAAGAATTTCTCTCTACATCAGAATTTACTTCATAGGAAGTTCTAATCTAACTATTAACTGTTGGAAACAAAAAATAATGAAATTAGTATAAATATAAATAAAAGAAAATAATGATGTTAGTTAAAACAATAATAAATTTAAAATAAATATAACAATTTGTTCCTCCCTCATTGTTTTTCATTTTTAAGTAGTGTGATCTATTGGAAATCACATTAACTAATTCGAATTATGCTTATGTGATGCGATCTACCAGGCAACCAGGACACTACAGTTTCATAAAATATGGATCAAAATAAATCCTGGACTGTTTTATAAAATTAAAAACCTTTTAATCTTTTGCTTTCATTAGGATATAAAAAAAAAGTTAATTGATTAAAAAAAAAGTTGTCACGGATTCAAATCAAGAAACTTTTATATTTTCTTTTACAATCTTGTTCATTAAATACATAAAACAAAAAACCCTGTACCACTACAATCCATGAAGGGTCTTGGATTCAATACAATTTGGGGAAAGCACTGCTTCTAGGTAAATGGTTGTGCAAAGAGGTGATTTGATCAAGATCACACTCAACCGCCAGGTTTTCTCCCTTAATTAATTATTTAATTAAGGGTACCTACTTTATAGAGACTGGGTGTGTCCCAGGAGGATTCTATCTACCCAGGTTCGCCACACGGCCAAATTTCAATTTTTTTTTATTTTCCTGCTTAAATATAGAAACAACAAAAGAGCTAATAAATACAAATATATCGTTATAGAAAATTACAAATAGTGGTTTTATCTATAAAAATATACTAACAGCTGATACAATTTTATAAAAATCACTAGTTGAAGAATTTTGAATTTTGAGGAAAAAGGTATTATAAAGTTCACTATAATACTAAATGTATGTTTAATGATATATTATTTAGGAGAGAAATTTTAATTTAATTAATATTTATTTAATTTCATTTAAAGAGTGTTATGGAACAAGCAAAGAAGATCAAAGAAGAGGTCCAAGAAACACAGGTCGAGAAAGTCAAAGAGTTAGTGGGACAGGCCAACAATATGGCAGAATCAGTGGCTGAGAAGTTTACCGAGGTTTGTTCATTAAATCATTTCCATAGCTAACATGGTCTCCTGAAGTATTTAAAATAAAATAGAGAAAATTGTATGTGTATGTGTGTGTTTGTATATATATTTCGAACTTGGTTCTCAATCATCATCAGTTTAACATAGAACATCATAGGGTCGTTTTACTTTTACACAGACATTTCAATTTTTTTTAAACCCTATATCATTCTAATATTTAAATTGCACCAATAAAGCATGTCCTGATAGTGTAGTTTAGATTTCATTGATAACAATCTTTATTAAATTGGAAAATTGATTTACAGGCAAAAGACAAAATCCCAGAAGTCACAAAGGCTCTTAGTGAAACGGTAACAAAGGAAATCAATTCTGGAGTTGGAGTAATCCAACAGGGTATGAAGGTAAACCAAAATTTATTCAATTTTATTTTTTAAATTCATAAACATTATTTACTTTTTATATACAAATTGGTTGGGACTTTTATAAGCAGAGCCCAGATTTCCATAAAATAAAAACCCACAAAATATGGCCATATACAATAAAAATCATTAAAATATTATATCTTATTTACAAATATTATATACCATTATAAATATGAATGCAAATTTTTTTGTAATAAGATATTTCTATTTTACTGAATCATTTTTGATTTTTATATAATTTATGGGACTATTATTATTAATGCTGAAATGTTCTAAAGTGTATGATTTAAAATAAAGTAAATACAATTTTAGAATAATGGATTAAACATTTTATATATTCTAAAAATTATTTACTTTATATATGGACATGACCAATTATGAATGCACTTTTGGATCATCTCAAACTAATCCTCTTTCTAAATGAAAGACTAGGAAATAAAAAATACAATCTCATCTTTCCATAGGTTGCACTCAATGGAGTCGACAGTGTTAATAACATCGTTGGTACTACACTTGGACAAGTCCAAAACATTGTTGGTACTACTCTTGGACAAGCACAAAACATCGTTGGCACCACTCTTGGTCTTGCCCAAAACATCGTTGGTACCACTCTTGGACAAGCACAAAACATCGTTGGTACTACTCTTGGTCTTGCCCAAAACATCGTTGGTACCACTCTTGGCCAAGCAGAAAACATCGTTGGAGGTACTCATGGACAGCGACCAACCATCGTTGGGGGTACTCTTGGTCTTGCCCAAAACATCGTTGGTACTACTCTTGGTCTTGCACAAAACATCGTTGGTACCACTCTTGGCCAAACCCAAAACATCATTGGAGGTACTCATGGGCAGGTTCCAACCATCATTGGAGGTACTCTTGACAAAGTCGCAGATTTGACAACTGGAACTATTCAAGGCGCTGCCAACATTGCTAAAGGATCAGTCAAGGTAAATTTACAATAACTTTTAATGCATTTGTTTAAATATGATTGTTATCCTAGATTTATTCAAGTTTTATTTAACATACTGATTATTTATCTCTAATATTAACCATAAAAAAGCTTTATGTCTACATATTTACGATACACTACATCAACAGCGACACTGCACTCTCCACAAAAACCTATAAGTGGAAAAATTAAAATTATTCATAAGATGAAAGATACCACATACTTTTCATTTTATGAACTAGACTTTTTATTAAATTTTGACTTCATACTAAAAACAAAAATATAATGTGTAAAATAAAAAAAACTGACCTGATAAGCTCAAAACAGCACTTTCTAATAAAATTGTAATTCCAGGCTTTTAATTTAACAAATTAAGAACAATGAACCAATAAAATATATTTATGGAGAAATTTAGGATCAACCATACTCATAAACTGAATAATCATATTAATTTTTTCTCAATCGGAATTAATGGTAATCAATTATTTTCCATTATTAGTATCTTTAATCAAAACTAATAATTTAAATAATTGTTAAATATTGGGTTATAGATCTCCATCTTTCAAATCATAAATTAACAATTTGTTATCATATTAACATTTAACTATAATACACTTTAATTTATATACCATAAAACATTATTAGAATTTAATTGTTAAGAGATAGTGTGAATCACGTCTCTAATTTCAAACATTCCAATATCAACATTTGACAAAAAAAAAAGTAAATAATATAATATAATACAATATTAATTTTTTTTTAATTATTAAAAATATTTCATTTAATGATTATAGTTTGGAGTTGGCACCGCTAAAAACGTCGTAGGCAATGTTATCGGCATCCCTTCCTCTTTGATCAGAGGTTAATGAAGTTTCATGGTAAATATTTCACTTTGAAAAAAAAAAAATCAATATATATCTACATATATCTGTTTATATATATTCTAATTGTGAAAGAAAAATGTTTTAAGATTTTTTTTTTGTTTACAGGATGAATTCATAAGGAAGTTGTAAATATGTCCTACAAGCATCAAGAATAACTTTGTAAATTGAAATTTTTAAAAATAAATATTTATTTCACAATGATATGGTTGTCATGAATAATTCTCTTAGTCCTTTAGATTTTATTAGTGACTACTCCAACCATATATATTCGAAATATATATCTACAAATTTTATTTTTGGTTTAATATTTTAGTAGGATTAATAAAATATCAAAAGCATTTTTTAAGGGTTTACATGTACAGCAACCCAACATTCACGAGTTTAACCTCTGCAAGTTTTGATTATGAACTGATACGAAAATCCAAAATAATTCCTCATACACAAATAGTATATTTGACTATACAATATAAATAGATAAAATTAAATAATAAAAAAAAGATCTCAGCCTCATGTAAGGAAGCATTATTGTTTCGTGTATCAAAAATCTCCATGTTCTCACTCTTTTTTATTTTTTTAATGTTTTATTTTATTTTAGTTCTTTTTATGTCTTTGAATTTATAATTTAATTAATTATGTATAATGTAAAGCTTTTTTTCTCCATTATTCTTTGGCATTAGCATTGTAGAAACAATAATGCTTATAGGGAAATGTTTATATATTTTCTTTAAATTGACATGTGAAATATATATGTTATATATTAAGAAGAGAATATATTATCATTTTTAAGTGCCTATTCGGCTTAGATTACTCATAGAAATGTAAACGAATCAATGAAAAATATATATATATTTTCCTTTTTGGAAGTGGAGGCCCGTTCCGCAGAAATTTCCACCAAATAAATTTGTTAGTGTTCTAGAAAACTGAGGAATAAAAATTACTACACCATAGTTTTAAACAATTTTTGATTTTATTTTTCAACTTACAGATGAAAATCCTAAACAAATTTTTTTTGTAAATTTAGACACCAATCTACAATGATTGATAAAATTTATACAAAGAATGAAGTCTATAAAATGGATTGAATGAGATTTGTAAAGGTATATGGAAATATTGACGGATTTCTTTAGTAACAATAAATAAATTTAATGTATAATTTTTCAAATTTATTGTATAGTTATATCTATAAAATGTATGATTCTTGTATATTTATATATGTATATGTATACATATTATAATTTAATGTGTATTTAAAAATATTTTTTAGATGAATATGGTGCAGAGCAACTAAAGCTCCTAAACATAAATATTTGAGACTGTAAAAGAAGCGTGTTTTTCTTATTTTTATTAAAGATTACTGTTCCATTTCATTTTGTAATTACTTTATAAATGCTTAAAAACTTCCGACTTATTCATAAAAGGCTCATTTGGGAATGAGTTTTAGACTTCCAAGATACTATTATATTCCTTTCACATTAAATTCTTCAGATATAAAATCTCTCCTGATATTCTGAAAGTTCCTCATTTCATCGCAATTCAAATTATCCACAATAACCTTAATGTTAAAGATTTGGCACAAAATTTAAAATAATAATTTTATAATAAACACCATACCTCCACAAACTCACTAGTTCCTAAACTTGCCTAAGGAAAAGACGATGATGTAGAGACCTTCAAAACGGGTAGTTTTTACAAGTGCAATTGTCATCACTCGACTTATTTGTTATTATTTTCCTTCCTTAATAAGAATAATAAGGAAGCTTTGTATACATGAAGGAAGTCTAAACAATATTTGTCCTCGGAATAGAAATTTTTAATTCATGATTTATAGTTTATACATCAAACACTATATTCCAACCCGCACAATCCAATAAGGTACCAATCTAGATGGTCACATACCAATTTTATCAAATTATGGCCACAACTTATGCTTAGGTATTTTCCTTGACACATCTATATTTCAAAAACGGCTCTAGTTTGGTCCCAGGTTTGAGTTAAGTTTTGAAGAAGTATAAAAGTTATCCAGTATCAATTTTATCAAATACTATTAAACTATTGGTATTGAAATATGGCTAAGTATTTTTGTTTATCTCTGCTGACTTCACAAATCTTTTGGGCTATTTCTTTCCATTTTACTGCATACAGCTCTGCAGATTCTTTGTTAATTCTATCTATCCATCTGGGTTTTTGGCCTCCCACATGGTTTCTTGCCCACTAGAGAGGCATTAATTATGTAAAAAAAAAAGAATATAAAGAGGTTATACTGACCGTACTTACCACTTTACTTTTATGTTTTAGTTTTGGATAAAAAGATAAACAAAATAATAATACAAGTTAATCAGATATTCATCCGAATCTTCAATATTTTCTTTGTTTTAATCACTTTCATATTCCTATCAGATTTGCATGTTTGATCTCTTTGTCTTAGATTTAAATAATTTTCTTTGAACAAATAATTATTTACCAAAACTTTATTGATTTGTAATAAGCAAAATTAAAGCAATCGTATAAATAAGGTTGAACCCAATAAGTAGTGTTAATTAACTGATAATTAATTCGAGTGACGTTGAAAATTAATGGAGCAAATATTTGCTATAAATTTCATATGATATAAATATTTGCTGAATTAAAAAAAAAAAACCATCTATAAAAGATTTCATTAAGGATTAATTTCCTCAGTCACACGCCATGAAGTTCTTCTACTCTTGTGCCTTTCTGGTTGTTTTCTTCGCGGCCTGCCAGGCCAGTCCTTTCTTGGGGCTAGGATCCTTGAAGGACACGGTCAGTTCTGTTGTTGATACCAGCAAGAACATTGCTGGTGAATTGGCGAAAGACGTTGGAAGGGTAACTGATTCGTTTTAATATTTAGTAGCGTAAAAGCAGCAGTAGCTGACAGTGTACCAATACCTGACATCCTCCTCAAAAAATGAGAATAATAAGATTTCAGAAACTTCAAGGCCTCTACTTAATTAATTTTTGGTTTCTTAATTTTGTTTGTTTGTCTGCTTTGCTTTAGTAATGCCGGAAACCATAACTGAAATGTGTGACAAATTAGGAAGCTCTCTCATGATCCAATTTAGTTTTTTAGGAACAACCTTTTATCAGTAAGGGCGCCATATCAAATGTTCTAGTTTTTCTTTTTAACTACATTTAATTTATACAAAAATTTTTGTTTTATTTTTTCTTCAAGTGTTTTTAGATTATATTTTATCCTTTTTTAACTTACCTCGATAGAGGAATTGGAAACTTAAAGGGTGTCAACTACTAGAGCCTTATAATGGGGCCTTTCGCCAATAGCTGACAGGCCTGTTCTCTTTAAAATTCAAAGAGATATACTTTATTTAAACGGTCTTAAAAATGAGACCATTTAATACTCAAACGTTTTAAAAAAAATTGTTAGTGATTTCAATTTAATATAAAGAAAAGTTAGGTTTTCTAGTTGCCAAAAACAGATTCTTAAAAGTGACTAGCATTCAACGATACATTGAAGTCGAGAAACGAAATTAAGTTAGTTTTTTAATAAGTTAAAGGTAATTTTTAAAAATATTTTTATATTTTATTTTAAAATGAAGAATACAATTTTTTTTCATAATTACACCCTTGTTCCCATCCACGTCATCTAGAGATACATTCCAAATCAGTGTCAGCTACTGGTGCAACTAAATTATTCTCTAAATTTACAATTTTTTAAAATATTTATGGATTTGAAATATGTATGGGTACGGAGAGAAGTAGTTGTATAAGATGAATACTAGAAAAATACAATAATATTTAATAGAAGTTTTTACAAGTAAAAGTTCAAATGAATTTCCTTAAGCATGCCAACTAGAGGTGCATTTACCCTAATTAAATTAGAAATTAGTGTTATTAGCAAAATGCTAATACAATTTTTATTATTGATGATTTCATATCTGCTGTTTACACAGCTCAATTGTTATTAACATTTCTATCAACCAGGCTTTTAACAAAAATGATAATAACATTCAGTCAAATTGACTGAATAGAAAATAATGAAATATTATTGACAAAGTTCCAATCGATTTCACTTAAACTTTTAGGTAAACTTTACATAGATCAGGAAAAGAATCCTGCGACATATAATTGTTATAGACCCAGCTGTTTAGTTACATTGGCTCTGGAAATGAAAAAATGTTCGCTAATTTATAGCATAACTTCCAGTAAATATAATGAGCAGTCACCATCTTAATCAAATATTTAAGCAACACAAAAAATAAAAATAAATAAATAAAGAGTTTTTCTCAAGGACAACTGTATTTAGCTTTATCTAGATTAGGTTGAAGATAAAATTAGTACACCACAGGAAAGAAAAAATATCAATAAGTTTTCTTTAAATATATAATAATAAATAAACACATTTGATTCTAAAGTCATACTTTATTTTTTTCTTTCAAACATTTCAGCCCTTCAGGTGATTTTCAAGGGGAAAAATCTAATTTTTAAATAAAACTATTTCCGTTAATGTGTCAGTTTCTCTCTCTCTCTCTTATAAAGTTTTCCATATTCGAAGAAGAAAAGCACAATAAAATTATACGGCTGCTAAACAGTATTGAGTTGATAAATCACTCAGTATAATGATCACTCATAATTTAATAAAGAACACATAGGATAAAGTATTACAGGACCATCATCCAACATATTGAATCTTATAATTCATTCATTCAATGTTGTCTGCTGAGTCCACAGCAAAGCACCCAGAATTAATACAGATGAGGATGTAGAATTCCCAATAAATCTAAAATAATGCCATCTAACATACTCTGCAGATGGTTCGTTTCCACATCCAGTTCTTCTGGAAAATCATCAGTTGAATGTGGAATCGCTCCTCCACTCCCAAACAGTAGTTCCCAAATCAAATGTTATCTATCAATGAACACCTCTCTGTATTTCTTTAGGGGGTATGGTATGCATTTTT